TTAAAACTTTTAATTTGTGCTTTCAAATTTTTGAAAGCTTTCGAAGATAACAGGCTTTCCTCAGTCGAAGGTTGTTTTGTGTAATTCTCGGGGACCAAAATTCACAGTGATAGGTTAACACCTTTCAAAAAGAGGAGGCACAACCGCTGTCAGATGTACGCCCAGCCGTCAGCGCGCTCCGTCCGGTGAGCTGCTGAAGACCGCTGGAGGTGGAGATGTGAGCAGAAATAAACCTGGTCCCTGCCACTGGCGCCTTAGCCGGAGGCTGTAACCCCTGCCCGGAGCCTTGCTCGCCGGCGTGTGCCCGGGAGGAGAGGAGCCGGGCTCTGGAGCGAAGCCGGCAGAGCGGGCACGGGGGCTTTCTGCTTTTTTCTGTGTGTGTGTGAAATGTTTTTCCTTTCATAGCACTGCAAAAAAAACCGCTCGTTTCGGTACATCCATAAAGTCCTCTAAAGGACTCTTTTAAAGTCCTCTAAATAATAAAGGGTATTTTAAAAAACTCTTTTCCGGAGTGAGAAAGCAGAGTTTCGCTGAGCAGCGCTGCCTCTCCGGCGACGCGCCCGTCTCTCGTGTATCTGACGCGAATTCCAGCGGCGTGAAACCCTCTGATCTCTTAACGATTTTTCCGACAGGTGGGTCAGGGAGTTCCTGAACGAAGAAAACAAGGGCCTGGACGTTCTGGTGGAGTACTTGTCCTTTGCACAGTACGCAGTGACGTAAGTAAGCCGTGCCGGGGGCTGCCTGGGCTGGCAGAGCCAAGAATCCTGCCGGCGCTGCGGGGCGAGACGCCGGGGCGGATGCTCGGCTCTCCCGGCAGCAGAGCTGTCCTGCCCGCAGCTTGGTGACACTAATCCCCAAACTATTGGATCACAACATGCTGCAGAGAAAAAAAAAAGCCAAAGTTTAAGCCTTGAGATTATTTCTAAGACCGTACTGATGTATTCTGCAGCTTTGGTAGCCTCTCACCATCTGAGGTGCCCAGCGACAGGACAAGGGGCAATGGGCACAAACTGAAGCAGAGGAAGCTCCAGCTGAACATGAGGAAGAACTTCTTCCCTCTGAGGGTGACGGAGCCCTGGCCCAGGCTGCCCAGGGAGGCTGTGGAGTCTCCTTCTCTGGAGATAT